CCTCTCGCTCCCCTCCTCCCCCTGGCCTTAGGTCGGGCCTGTCCCCCTACAGGGGGATTTTGGACGAAAACATAACAATGTTCAAACAAATACGCAAAAGATGCCCAACAATACTCAAAAAGTAATCCCCATACTATTTTTTAGAACTGTTTTTGAATATTCCTCCTGTAGAGGGACAGGCCCGACTTAACCCTGGTCCTCCCCCTCGTGAGGCTTCGGTGCGGGCGGCGGGGAAGACAGCAGGACGAGGGGAGAGGGGCGGCTGGCGGGCGGGGAACGGCTCGAGGAGAGCAAGAGGATGAAGGGGCCCTGGCACACACAAACGAATACACACAAATCACAAGATTCCCCTTATTTTCCCACAGTTTGTGGGTTTCTGTCTTCCCCCGCGCTTCCCATATTTTGCCATATTTTCCTGGGAGCCGACGAGTAATTGTGTCTGTGTGTTTCTTCCCCTCCTGAGAGGAGGTGGACAAAAGTGGTGAGGGCACCGGCGCGGGAGGTTCAGAGAGTTGGGAGAGCCAGGGAAGAAGCGGTGCAGAACAGAAACCGAGAGGATGATGCGCCAATGCATAAGAAGGACAAGCTCGCCGACACGGCTTGCATTGTTCGACAGCTGGCCTTGGAGTCTGCGCAGAGAGTATATGCGTAGAGGTTGCGCCCCTGATTCCCTGGGAAGCACCAAGCACCATGCTCACACCCAACATCCACGATCAATGGCAAGCGCGGGCATGAAAAGGATAAGACGGCACAAGACGAGGATGAGGAGACGCGATTGCAAGATACTCAGACTGGAGCGTGGAGTGAGTGTGACCAGTGGGCCGTAGGTAAGCTTCACCGTCATGATGAGGAACAGCAAGGTCCACGGGACCTGGAAACGTTCTCCCCAACTCAGCTCCCAACTGCCGTCGTGACCTGCGTCCTATCCGCATCGCCGACCCTCGCTCCCGGCAGAGGCCGGTGACCCTGATGTCGGCCCGCACGTGCGCTCGGGCAGAACGTGCGATCTCGGCAGGCAACCTCTCTGCGGGCCAGGCTCAGGCCTGAGATGGCACCCCGCCATCCTCCGCTGCCCCCTGCTCCCCCGCTGCCCCGGCCGCGCCCCCCGGTCGCCCCCCATTGAGCTTCTCCCCGCGCTGCGCCTGACGCCCCGCCCTGCTCCTCCCTGCCCCTCGCCGCCCCTGCCCCCCCCCCCGGCCCTCTGCACCGCCCCCTCCGTGGTGCCCGCGCGCGCGGTGCCGCTCGTGGGGGGCGAGCGTGCCCCCCCTGGCTCTGCCGCAGCCCTGGGGCCCGCACGGCGCTGCCGCCACGCGCCCGCGGGGGTGGGCGGGGACCGCGGGAGTTGGGGGGGGGGCGCGGGATCGGCCACGAAGGGGGAGGAGGCCCAGACATGATGGCGTCGTAAAAAAATCAGGACGGAAGGTTTTCACTATTTTCGGCCCCTGGGGGCCCTCGCCGGGCCTCGGGACCGTCAAAAAACGACTCAGGACGGAAAACCGGCCCCAGGGAAAGGGTTTAGATTTCCAGGGGCGCCGTCCTGAAAAAATCAGTACGTCGCATGTCTGGGGGTGGAGCACTCCGCATGCCCTGTGCGTGGCCACGGCAGAGAAAAAAACAGAATTACCAAGGGGGCCGTGCGGCTCCGCGGACTGTGTTCCATGGAAATGAAAAAATCCCATCGGAAAAAATCCCCGGGCCCCCACCCGGACAATCCCATGGACAATCCCACAAGGATCCGGGCAACCCTCCCGGACAACCCCTCCTGGACAAGCCTCCCCATGACTTTTAAAATTTTCCATACAACATAGTAGGGCTCAGGAGACGCCCCTCCTCCCTTGATGGAACAATTGTCCCCCAGCACCGAGAGGCAAAGGAGCACAGCGCGCCCTCTCGCTTGCAGAGCGTGCCAGCGCCATCCGGCCGAAGGTGTTGCATGTGAGTGGCCATGGTGGGCTTGAAATAACTATGTCCGGCCCTGGACTCCACAATAGGGGGAGAGGCGAAATACGACGGTCCCTGATCGGCCTCAGTGCGACGTTGAGCACGAGCTGCAAACGAAACCCAAAGTTTGGGACAGGGGATCTCGGAGACTCCTGAAGGTGTCTGAGCCTTAGCCGTCGGTTCGGTTTTCAATGCAAGACGCCGAAGTAAAATGATCGAATCAACCGGGGGGAAGGATCGCGACCCCTGAGTGTCGACCCAGAAGGCGCAGTGCACCTACAAAGTTCACCGCTCGCCCATCGCTTACCGAAAGCGAGGCGCATATGTATGGGGATAAATGAATGGCAAACACGGTAATCCTGCGAGCAAGCTAAACACGAAGCACAACGGCCGTCACTGGATACGCCAATCTTGGGCTCCAGCACCAGAAAATAAAAAGGATGAGGCAGACGACGCCGACGACAAAACGTATGCTTTGAGGCAGCCGACGCCGCTGATAACCAGGACGGGGATGAGGACAAGGAGAAGGACATGCATGAGGCGGACGAGAAGGAGAAGGAGGACAACGACGACGCAGGGAGGACAGGGAGAAGATTAATGGGGAAGGAAGAGAAAGTGGGACGAGGGAGGCGGAAGGGGAACGGCAGGAGGGGGGAGGCCCAGTGTCTCAAGGGGAAGAGCCCGTGGTGACCGCCGCTGCCGCTGCCAGGCCGTGCCGTGGCGACAGGTGAAGGGAGGAGGGGCTCCAACTTTATCCCTTCCAGCAAGAATTCTGCTGTAACCCTCCACAAACGGAGTCCGATGGTAATCCTCTCTGCACGGTACCCCATGAGAATTGCCCAACGAGCTCTGAAAAGACAAAACAAGGGCAAAGAGCACCGAAGCAACATGACATTATCTTGCGCATTGGGCCAGGCGGAGGGCGGATGCCTCCAGACCTCGCGGGGGGGCTCGCCCCCGAGAGGCCCCGGCGGGGCGACGGCCTCCCTGAGGCCCTCGGACGTGAGGAGCACCAGCGACCTCGGAGCTGCCATCTCCACCGGCCCGGGCGGACCCGAGGCCTGACCGGCGGCCCCGATCCCCCCCCCCCAGCCCTCCCCGTCCCCCCCCCCCCCTCCTCCCCCGTCCTCGCCCCAGTCTCCAGTCCCCGAACCTCCTGCTGCAAATCCCCCCCCCTGCCCCCGTCCTCGCCCCAGGGCCCAGGGCCCCGCCCCTCCTTCGAGATCCCGTGCTCGCCTCACTGGTCGCTGCTGGCTGCAGCCGTCGCGGGGGGGGGGGGGCCCGCCCGGCTCGGCTTCGCAGAGAGGGCAGGGATGGCCCCAGCCCGGGAGAACGACGTGATGCCTCCCCCGGGCAGGCCCCCCGCTCCCCCTCCGCTCTGCCCAGGCCCGCTCTCTTCCTGATGCGAAGGCTGGTCTGGTCGACAAGCGAAGGAGCAGCGACCCAGGGACCAGCGTCGAACCCTGATCGGCGAACCAGGGTCCCCTCCTCCTCCTCCTCATCTGCTCCAGTTCCCGCTCCTGCTCCTGCGCCTCCTCCCCCTCCTCCTCCCCCTCCTACGCTCCCCCCCCCACCACTTCATTCAGTGATTAGAACGGCACGGACGGAGTCTGCGCAAAGATGCTTCGCCATCCCTCGGGTCATCTCCGTCCCGCGCGGACCGTGGCGCGCCCCGACGGAGCCCTGGCTGCGTCCAAGCAGCAGCGGAAACATTAGCAGCAGTGCTGAGTCTGGGAATCTTCTCCAACTTGCACTCTGTGTTTGGAACGCTCGGGTCCAAGTTTGGTGAGAAATCCGAAGCTTGGACGCTGGGAATATGCAAACAGCGGAACGCGGCGCAATTATGAAGACAACCTGCAAGTAGGCAAGGGACGGGAGAGAAAGACGGCAGGACGGAGCTACAGCAAGCGGAGACGCCAGCTTACCCATTTGGCTGCCAGCTCAGCCTTACAGGTGCATATGCTGCGACACCACCTTGCGAAAACGCGTCTCAGAGGACAGGTTCGTTTGTTGTTGATCAAGGCACGTGGGTTCTTTAGTTTTTGCTCCCTCGGCTATGGGCTCCATTTCCAGCCCTGGCATGTTTTCGAGCCGCCTCCAGACGCGGTGATCAGGACAAGCGCGGTTGTGTGAGTGCCAACACAGGAGGAGCAAACAGGGACGCAATGAACCCATTTGCACCGTATGGCAAAATCAACGGGCCTTTTATTTAGGAAACGAGTAACACCGCTGGGCCCCTCAACGCTCCCGATTGTGCCAACAGCTGCGCAGCTAGCAGCGCCGAGGAAGGTGAGGTCTACGGTGGGTCCGTTCAGGGCCGCACTCCTGTGGACATCCCACAAGCCTGCGAACGTGACGAACTAGCATTGCGGAGTTAGCAGCACCCACATAAGCGAGGTCTACTTTGGGCCTGGGCAGGCCTCCCTGGAGCCCCACGACCTCACGAGTGTGGCGGCGATTGCGGAAAAATTACACCACCGGAAGATTCGAAGCTTAGTCCGGGTCTGCGTAGGCACGCGCTCGCCCGGGACAGCCCCCCTCCCCCCGCAGGCTCACGGAAGTGGCGACGATTGCGCAGCTGGCACTACACACGGAGGCGGTGTCTGTTCCCAACAACCTTTTGGGCGCAAGCGGTTTCACACGTCAATTTTCCCAACCTGCGTTTGCCCCTTCCGAGAGAGGTTTACTTCTCCCCGTGCCTCCTGGGTCTGAGGGGGATTGTCGCGAGTCGCTACGGGGCCCACGATGGTCCGAGATGACCCCAAGAGGGCCCCGGGCAACCCAACATGGCATCACAAATCGCAGAATGTATCCCAAGAGCTCTCGATATAACGTCAAACGTGTCTTCAGAAAACGCAATGCCCGTATCAATACTGCTCGAACAAAAACACGTAACCTCCCAAGGACTCCCCGCCTCCCCGGGAAGCCCTTCTCCTTCCAAAACCTCAGCGGAGGTGATGATAATGCATTCTCGTAGTTTCGCTTCCGACGAACCTCTGAGGCCCCAGTGTGCACTGTGGTTTAAATGCGACCGAAAGGTGTCCCCGGAGGGGCGCAACTCGGCCCCAATCGAGCCCCAGAGCGTCGAGGGCTCCAGGAGGCGACGTTTGGGCGTCCGCGAGGGGGTGGGGCACCGGTATAAGCGCCGCCTTTCGTTTTGATCGATGGCCCCAAGACAGCCACAATAGCCCCTGCAAGGCCCCCAAAGAGGGCCCACAAACAGCCACAATAGGGCTCCCAAGAGAAGCCCAGGAGGAGCCCTACAGACCGCAAGAGGCTCTCCGCGGTCACTAATGCCACCATTGTTGGTCTCACTGCTTGGCAATATTCTGCTTATCTACGCCCCTCCTCGCCCCCCCTGGGCATCGTATCCGGATGGGCTGGGCTGGCGGGGATACTTTTTTGATCGCGAGCGCAGACGGAGGTGCCGCGCGCCGTCTGAAGCTACAGCAAACTAGCAGCAGCCTAAATTTCACACGAGGGGGGAGAAGAGGGACAACAAAAGAAGACAACGAGAGAAAAGCGGGAGGTGAGACAAGCCGAGGCAGGCCGCGCGGCGCTCACGAGGGGGTGCCATCGGCAGCAGCAGCCGCCGGGGGTGCACGCCAAAATGGCAGGCAATTGGCTGGCAGCGTGGTGTCCCGTGTCCGCGGCGAGGGGCAAATCCGCGGGAGATAGCGGGCCGCAGGCACCCGTGCCTGCACGGGGGGCAGCACGCGGGGGGCTGAGCGCGGCAAGAGCTAGGCATCCCTGCATGGGGACCAAGCCTTCAGGTGCGTCAAAGCCAATGGGGGTGGCGGCGGAACGAGTGAGCGGCGACGACCGATCAGCAGTGCGCGCCGTGGGACAGGCACGCCGTGGGCAGACTGAAGGCAGTCAGCCGCGCGACGACACCAGTGAAAAAGCCATCTGGCATGCAGGCGCTCGACGGACGGGAGTCCGGATCGCCAGGACCGGCGGGACGACGGAGGTGTCGAAACCCGCTCGGGGAGCAGAAAGGAACGCTACCAGCACGGTAGGGGGCGAACCGACAGGCCGGCGGACCCTGGGCGAGCGTCGGAGGGCCGCCGCAAGCCAGGAGCCGCGGTGGGCGGATGGGCCGCGGGGGCAAGGAGGGCCGCAGAGAGCGGGCAGGCGGCCAGGAGTGACGGACCGCGCCCGCAGTGCTGCGGGAGGGAAAGAGAGGAGCCCAAGCGGCGCCTTTGCGCGGAGCAGAGGCCGTTGGGCGGGGGCGCCGTGGCGAAGGGGGCCACGGCAGTGAAACGGCTCCGACGCGCCTTGTGCCCCGGAGCCAGAGGCGGGGGCAGGGGCGTCGAAGGGGCCCCATGCGGTCCACGCGGGGCGTGGGGCAGGGGGGGTGGCTCGGCGCCAGTGGGCGGTGAGCCACAAGCTAGACTGGCGGCGAAGACCGCACCGGTGGTCAAGGAACCATTTTTTCTTATTTCTGACCTCATGAAGCCATTAAGGACCCCCCAGGGTTCTCATTAGCACCGCACCGTAATCAAATGATTCTGGGGGGCGGTTGTCGCCGAACGGTATAGTCAGCACGGCGCAAATGGAACGACAAGCAATGATTCCAGCGCCCCAGTCAGGGTGGCATCCCAAGTGGAATTGGAATAATAATAATAATGAGAAGCGAGTAATCATACTAAGAACATATGCCATTGATAATAAGGGGAACACGAAACATAATAATACTAATAATAGCATTAACAAACACATGGGAGTATTTATACACATGATGATAAGCGTAAGAGTAAGAGTAATGATACGATGAAAAATAAGAGTAAACATGCATAGTAATAATAAGACAACTACTAATAATAATCCGAATCGTAATCATAAGAAGATTGCGAATAATACTAATAACAATCAGAAAAAAAACAATAATAATACCAGTAAGAATAGGACAACGAATAATAACCATAATGATAATACTAATAAGAGCTTTTTCCCATTATCTTCATCATCATTGCCCTCTACGGTTTGTATTACCACCCCTATTGAACAATTGTTTTTTTCCCGGCCGTCGTGTGTGGTAGTTCATCCCGAGGATATCGCCCCCGCCACGCACGACGCGTTATCCTCGCACCCGCACCGCCAAAAGCATTCGCCTCCCATCGTAGGCACGGACGTTTTTTTTCCAAAGCTGGGTTCTCCCTTGCGTGGGACTTGATGGTGTTATTGATGGTGTTGGCGGTGTTGTTGGTGTTTTTGATGTTGATGTTGTTGTTGGTGGTGCTGTTATTGGCCTCGTCGTTCTAGCTATAATTCTTGCTGCTGGTATTCGTGTCGTTGATCGTGTTGGTGCCGTGCCGTAAGGGAGTCTTGAAGAGGAGCAGGAGGATGATTTGTCCTGTTCGGCTGGGCCAAGGCCTCTTGACTGAGGCCTTGGCCCTCGGCTTGATCCGTAATGGCGAATAAGAGCCAAACTATTGCGAGAATGTCTCAGGCGCTTTGCTTGTTTCGGCGAGCAGAGAGGTGCGAAATGCCAGGGTAACGCTTCTGGGGTGCCGGGCGCGCGTATACTTTCGCCAGAGAGGGGGGGGTTCTTAATTTCCGGATGAGGTTATTTTTACCAGTTTACTAATAAGAGTCCGTGCCGCACAAGCACGACACACAGCAAAAATGGAAAAGGGGGCTATCCAGTCCTGCTGCCTTTGACAGCCAGAGTCGGGCAGGGGGAGGCGGAGGGGGCCTCTTCGACCGTAAGTTCCAGGTAGGAGGCCTCGGTTAAGCTTCCTACTCTCAGAACAGGCTTTCATATTCAACGGTTGCAGAAGCTTATGCCTGGGCCCTGCTCGGCACGTGCTAAAGCCACCACATACCGAACAGAAGACGACGGGGAGCCCGCTGAACCTCTGTCCAAGCTACCTGCATGTTGTGCCCGCGTGGGGGCCCATTCAAAAAGTTCCGACGGCAAGACTCAACCCACTACACGGGCTCCTCCCCGCCCGTTTCGATGACAAACTCTTAAAAAAGAGATGTTGCACCTGCACGGCCCAGTGCGGGCCACCCGAACGTGAAAAACCTGGAGCTTGGGGCGTGGCTCTCGGCCCAACGCGGAAACGACCCAGCTACCTCCCCCCCGCTGCCGCCCCCCCCCCGCCGCCACGCCCGGGCTAGCCCCCCCCCTCCAACGCGGGCCGTCGCCGCGGGCGCGGCGTTCAAACTGGCCCGGACATGGTCAGGCAGTGGGCCCGGACATGGTCAGGCAGTGGCCTTTCCAGCCGCTCCAACTCTTCCCCGCCGCGCGCCATGCCGCCCTGAGCTGGGCCTGGCATGCCGCCGTGATCGTGCATCTTTGCAGATCCAGACCTTTCAGCGCACGGCTCGCGGGGATCGCGGCCAGCAGGCTCTCGGCCCCCGCGTCGCCGATCCCTGTTTCAAATAAACCTAGCACGAGGTCTCCGCTGGCGAGGGCCGGCAAATGCCGCGCCAATGCGGCGGCGCCGGCATCGCCCAGGGGGTTGAACTCAAGAACGAGCCTCAGCTCCCGCAGGCGGCCGCAGCCCGCCAAGGCGGCCCCCAGGCTCTCGGCCCCCGCGTCGCCGATCCCCGCTTCTTTCAAGTCTAGCCACTCGAGGCCTCCGCTGGCGAGGGCCGGCAATTGCCGCGCCACTGCGGCGGCGCCGGCATCGCCCAGGGGGTTGTGTCCGAGCTTGAGCTCCCGCAGGCGGCCGCAGCCCGCCAAGGGGCCCTCCAGCCCCTGCACCGCCGCGGCGCCCCAGTCCCGGAACTCAAAATCGAGCGTCTTGGCCGTGAAGAAGATCTCCTCCGCCGTCTGCGCGTACTTGCGCTCCACGAACGCGTGATCCGCGGCGTTCGTGAACGTCTTGGTGCGCAGCAGCTCGCCGAAGGCCTCTGGACTCGGGGGCGGGCCGCGCTTCTTGACCGCGCAGCGCCCCAGCAGCTCAACCCACGAGGGCAGCAGCAACTGCTGCTGCTGCTGCTGCTGCTGCTGCTGCTGCTGCTGCCCCTCCAGCTGGCCGACGTCGACCACGTAGCGGGACTGTGTGATCAGCTCCGCCAGGGCCCGCTCGAAGCAGGGCCAGCCGCGCTCCGAGTACGGCTTCATGGCGGCCGGGGCACCGGGCGGGGGCGCCGTGAGCAACCACTTCTCAACGAGGGCATGGCCGTACCAGAGGTTCACGGCACGGAGGCCCCGGTCGAAGCGCGCCTGGTCCTCCTTAGAACGCGTTTTCTGGGGCAGGCTGGGCCAGTCGAGGAAGACGGCCAGGTCCACGACTTTGTAGTCATTGTAGTGGTCTCCCCTGTGGGCCATGCGGCGCTCCACCAGGCCGGCCAGGAGGCGCAGCTGCTCGCCCCGCGGATCGGGGTGCTCGGGCGTCTCCCAGCAGTACGAGATGCCCACGAGCCCAACGCCATCAGGGATATTGAAACAAAAATCATTCCACCACGCCGAATTGTGCACCCGTGGCATCAGGGCCTCCGGGTCCCAGACTGCCTCCGGGGGCAGGTCCTGCCGCCGCGGCAGCTTGCCCCCCGACCTGCCGAGCGCTGCGAGCCAGCTGCCCTTCAGGAGCACGGTGTCACCGCCCTCGAGAGCCTTCCAGATGGAGTCCTTCGAGGTGTACATCTCCCCGAGGGACGCGAGATGCTCCTCGCGGGCCCGGAGGGCGCTGGCCGCGCCGCCGAGCTCGTTCTTCCGAAGGCCGAGTGCCCCGCCCTCCGCGATTGCCTCCCGCAAGAGAGGCACGGTGTTCTTCTTGGCGGCCTCGGCGAGGAAGCGGGCGTACGCCCTGCGCCGCCGCTCCTCGTTGTCCGGGCCCGGCAGGTCCTGCGACATGGCGGTCGTGAGCGAGCGGGCGCTCCATCCTGCGATGGCGCGCGCGACGCGCGCCCCGAACTCGTCGATGTCCGACGCCGCCTGAGCTGGGAGGAGGAGGAGGAGGAGGAGGAGGCGGAGGAGGAAGGAGGAGGAGGAGGAGGAGGAGGAGGAGGAGGAGGAGGAGGAGGAGGAGGAGGAGGAAGGGGGGGCCGTCTCCACGAGCTCGCTCTCCGTGGGCAGCGGCGCCCCCCTGCAGCACGCAAGCATATGGCGGGCGGGCGGTTGGGCCCCCGGCGGGGCGTCGAGCGCGGGGGGCGGCGATCTGCCGCGTCCCGGCAGCCCGCGGTGTCGAACGCGCTCGCTTTAGCCAAAGGCTACGGAGGCTGGTGTACAGTAATCGGCCTGACCTAAGGAACGATAAATAAGGAACGAAGCCCCTGTTTTCCAAGGAATCAAGCATAAGATCCGATAAATAATGAAAAAACGAGTAAGGAACGATACGTAACACATGCAAGCCGAAAGGAACGACCGATCCCCTCTTGAAAAGTAGGTGTTCCTTACTCAAGCCGCTCACTGTAACCAGACTCGAACCAACCCCTATCCCCTGAGATCGGCAAGCCAAAAGCGAGGATCATCTCAGGGATGTGCCCTTAGAAACGGAGGGCCTCCTTCAGATCGGCACCAGAGTAAGGAGATGCTAAACATAGGGGTAGGGATATGTTTCAAACTGGTAATGGGGATGCGCGAAGCGGCAAGAATTTGGATCTGGTTCAGGGCCGCACTCCGCTGGGCCCCCGAAGCTCACGAAGTGGCGGCAGTGGCGCAGATGGCACTATATACCCACGGGAGGCGATGCCTAGTTTGAGTTTGGTTGGACAACGCTGCCTCGAACCCCCCACAAGCTTACGAATGTGAGCTTACGGGGGGGTCCAATGGAGGCGAGGTCTAGATTGGGTCTTGGTCGGACCACGCTCCACTGGACCACCGACGAGCTCAAGAAAGCGTTGCGCAGTCCAGACGTAAGCAGTTGGCAGCACCAAGGGAGGCAATGTAGGAGGCAGGTATGAGGTAGGAGTTCGGATGGAGGAGGCAACAAACCCAACCAATGCGGTGGGGGGGAAGAAAACCAGCCGTGATCAGTTCAAAACGGGCGCACCACCAAAAGAGGGTTGGGCACAAAGACAACAAAGACGGCTCCTCGTTCAGGACCTCGCATGGCTGCTGGGGGACCTGGAAAACTGTCAGAGAGATTCGGCCGATCGAGAAGACCTCGAATATCGACCCGCCATGCATACAACGACGTCTGTCATTCCGGAATGACAAATGGCAAGAATTGCTGCTTCTCCTCCCCCTGCATTCATTCATCAGGCAGCGTAGAGTTTCACGCATTTCCGCGTGCGATTGCTCAAGCTTGATTTCTCGCCCACGCGCCCGACTGTAAATGGCTTGTGACAAGGCTGAACCTAAACGGTGTTTTTCGTGTTCGTTTTGTTTTCGTTTTCCCTCGCTTTTGTCTCGAATCCGCCTTTAACGCAAAACGAAATCGAAACGATAACGGCCCACGAAATCGCCAAAAACACCGTTTAGGTCCAGCCCTGGCTTGCGAGTGAGCGATATAAGGCGCAGACAGGGCCGCCAGCAGGGAGGCAACCCAGCACGTGCGCCGCACACCGAAGGCTCTCACGATCATGTCGCCGACGAACAAGCCGACGAGCGGAGCCACGCTGGAGCGGGCCCCAGCGCCGCCCAACAGGAAAGGGGAAGGCCAGAGACATGGGGAAATAAAGAGAGAGAGAGAGAGAGTGAGAGAGAGAGGGAGAGAGGGAGACAAAGGACGGGGAGGGAAACAGCTGAGAAGAACGGAGCAGGAGAAAGGGGTAGCGAGGGCCTGCGAGGTGCCTCCCGATACACTGACGTGGCGCTCGCGAAGAATTCGATTGAACGAGGAAGCGCAGCAAGAGACAGGACACAATAGTGCGAGCACCCAAACTGAAAGAGCTTGCCATAATGGGGAGCATAGATAGACTATGCCGTTATCGAAGTGTTTGGCCATTCTTCCAAATGGTCCGCGCGGACCCGCCGCCCGCGCGCCCTCGGGTAAGGCTACGCAGATGGCAAGTCTCCCTCAAGATCTGAGTCCGCTCAGCCCCGTACGAGACGGGCGGAATAAGTTTCAGGGAACGCTGAATACATGTTCTTTTGCTGAAAATCGAACCGGAGTAAATTCCACCGGAACGCGGCTCAAGTTAATCCACTTGAGAAACGTGCGGCGTAAATTCTTACACCGTAGTATGTATTACAATACGAACGAGAAACGAGGTGAGCGGGAGCCGAAACCTACTCCGCCGCAGGCGGACGACATGTTGTAGAATTGTACGGAGGGAGAGGGGGGGCCTCGTCAACGGGAATGATCGAGATTTGGATAACGGCAGTGTATGAGGAGCCAAGTAGGGAGCCGAACTCTATACACCGACGCGTTTTCCGGCCCTGCGCTGAAACGCTAACAAGAAAGCGGATCCTGGTGTACATGGGGTCCTTGTGTATACATTTTTCGTTGTTTCCTGGGAGAAGCGGCGAAACAAGTATACACCACACCACCCCGACGTCGTCCCCGACCCTCAAAAAGTCCTGGGATTGAAAAGCAGCCCGCCACTGGTATAATGTACATGCTCCAGGTTCCGACCAAGAGCTGTGCGCTTCCCCGACATCGGAATTGACTGCAGTTGCTTCTCATGACCTTGGTCGAGTGCTCGAGGACTGGGGCCTGAACGCCCCCCTGTATGAAGGGGCCCGGGGACACACAAATACATACACACAAGTAACAGGATTCCCCATATTTTCCTCATGTTTTCTGTGCTTTTGTCTCCCCCCCACTTCCAACATGTTCCCATATTTTCTGGGGAATCGACGATTCATCGTGTCTGTGTGTTTTCCCCCTTCTGAATCAGCACCGCCGCAGCCTCCCCCGAGGCCCTTTGCAAAAGGTGGCTGCGCCGGGCATCGGATGGCTCGAACGAACCCTCGGGGATTGCAGCTGGGAGCTCCCTCCGAAGGGCACCGGGGCTCCAGCAAGACGCCACCAGGCACCACCGGAATCACCGCTGCAACTGCCGCTTCTCCGGCACACCGTCTGTGGCAATCCGACTGTCGGCACAGCACCTACCACACTTCTGATGTTGAGGCTGCTCTACGTGGTTACTGCTCGTTGTCACTGCTTTTACCGATACTCCTGGTGTGGTCGGCAATGTCACTCTCAGCGATACTGGGTATGCGGCTGCTTGTGTTACCATCCATTCAGCGGCTATTGTGTTCCTCCGAGCGCTTCTGATAGAACAGCGGATGCGCAATGCCAGTGCTTCTGCTGACGTTACAAATGATCCTGCGGGGGCGCTCGATACCCACCAATGCTAGGGGAACGAAAAATGACATAAACATAAAAGCTCGGAGGTCCGCGCGGATTTCTCGGATCGGCGCTGGACCCTCCTCCCTGGCGCACGTAGCGCGCCAGGGGCGGCGCCGAAGGCGCCGCCAGGGGAGTCCAGCGCCGATCCGATAAATCCGCGCGGACCTCCGAGTTTTTATGTCCCCTTACATACTGACGACTTCGGCTGCCACAAATAACAACTGTACCGATCCTGGGTACCCGTCTTGCTACTACAAATGCTGATGTTGCATTGCAGCTACTGCCGTACCAGTGCCAACCGCACGCTCCCTCTGATCGTGCGCCGCACATGTCTCCTCCTCCTGCTCCTCCTCCTCATCCTCCTCCTCCTCTTCCTCCTCCTCCTCCTCCCTAGGCGGCCTGCTCCTCCTCGTCCTCGACGCGTGCTCCTCGTGTTCCTCCTCTCCCTCCCCCCTTCCCTTCTCCCCATTCACATGCTCCTCCGTCCTCCCGCCTCTTTCCTCCACCCCCCCCGTCTACACCCACTCGAGATGAATGATCTTCTCCTCTCTCACAGGACACATGTGGCGGTCTGCGTCCGCCTCTCCCGCCCCCTGCTTCTCACACGCCGCATGACACGAGGAGGAGGAGGAGGAGGAGGAGGAGGAGGAGGAGGAGGAGGAGGAGGAGGAGGTGTGGACGCGTGCATGCGCAGTGAAATTGGAACGTCATCGGCCGTGCAACATTTGAACTCCCGCTGCAGCGCTGGCCACATTTCAGGATCGGTGCTGTGGCCCCGTCGCTCACAATTCCGCTCTCGTCCCAGCGAGGGATCGGGTTCTGAGTCCGAGTCCTTCCTCGTCGCGGCCGCCCCCTCCTTTCCCCTCCTCCGCCTTCTGCTGATCCTCATGCTTCTCCTGCATCCTACTCCCCCTGCTCCTGCTGATCCTCCTCCGTCTTCCTCATTGTCCTCCTGATCAGAGTCCTCCTGGACATCCAACGAACACAAAATGATTCAGCCCACAAGGGGAAGGGATGGGTGGGAGGGGTGGGACGTCAGATATGGCGCGAGAGCACCTAGCTTATCCCTCCATTCTGTCCCTCCCCTTCCCCCTGCCCCCTCCCGCCCTGACTTCCTTTTCCCTTCTTGTTCCCCTTTTTCCATTCCTGTTCCCTGCTCCTCAGCCTCCTCCACCGAGATGCCGAGACAGTCCCAACTGCCAACGCTGGAAGACAAAGATAGCGATTGGAGCAAGGTCCTTCCAGCGTCGAGAGCGTTACGGAAAACACTGAGAATATCTTAGAAGGCAGGAAGGAGAACGCTGAGCGGGGGAAAAGGGCGGAGGGGAGGGAGGGAGGGTGGAGGGAGGGAGGTCGGAGAGACACAGGACGGGAAAGGTAGGGGAGGGCTGAGGAGGGAAGAGAGAGCAGCGATGGGGAGGAGGGATGGGGGGAGGCGGGAGGGCGGAAAGAGGAGACGGGGAGAACACGCTTGTGAAGCGCTCGCCCGGTGATCGTGTTGAGGGCGGACCGGGAGACCTCGGCTGCAGCAAGACACATCTTGTGGCGGACATGTGATGCCCGAACTGGGCTCCACAGCAAGCATGCGCACGGTGCGGAAAATACGCACAATACAAATGCGACGATCTGCGATTGACAGGACAAATTGAATATTTGCACCCCCGTCCCGCTCTGTCCCGATCTTCTCCTCCCCTTCCCCTCCCCCTCACACGCGAGGCTGATTCTAATATATTGTTTATGCCCCTGCTGGAAACTCTGCTCCCCTCCCACCCTCCTCCAATCCCCTGCACTTCCCCCACCCCCATCTCTTCCATCCGTGGGCTTGCTGAGGAACTCCGGGGGGCAATAATGCAAAGAGATCCTA